AGAGGGAGCTGAGCCGTAAGGCGAAGCTCTCTGTTTACCGATCGGTCTACATCCCGACCCTCACCTATGGTCATGAGCTGTGGGTAATGACCGAAAGAATGAGATCGCGAATACAAGCGGCAGAAATGAGCTTTCTTCGCAGGGTGGCGGGCTCAACTCTATTTGATAGGGTGAGGAGCTCGGCCATCCGGGAGGAGCTCGGAGTAGAGCCGCTACTCCTCCGCATTGAGAGGAGCCAGCTGAGGTGGTTTGGGCATCTGATCCGGATGCCCCCTGGACGCCTCCCGGTGGGGGTGTACAAGGCACGGCCTACCGGAATAAAACCCCGGGTAGGCAACTATCTCCAAGTTGGCCTGGGAGCGGCTTGGGGTCCCCGGGAATGAGCTGGAGGAAGTTGCGGAGGACAGGGTCACCTGGGATTCTCTGCTCTCCCAACTGCTACCGCGACCCTATCTGGACTAAGCGGTTAACGATGATGATGATGATGATGAACAAACTACAAGGCTTTTAACTAAGAGACACTTAAGCTACAGTCACATTACAAGCCTCATTTCTCAAATCCGTTTTTTTACTCAAATCCTATCTCTCAGGCACGATGGTTTACACTTGTTTAGGTAAGTGATTCAAGTCTGTCATTAATGTGAACAAACCTGCGTCCTGAAATGACCCGCATGCGCACATCCTACTCAGTAACGGCACGTGAATAAATCGCGTGCGTCACGTGCATCATCAGCAAACAGACTAACGGTCAGAACGATCCTTCGCTGTGAAGATAATTAACTCTGAAAACCTCTCAGCTGTTTATTATTAGAGCGAGATGAAGGTGAAAAAGGTGGGATGTATTTCTTTTCCACCGTTTACAAGCTTTTACTTCCAACTTTTATTGAATGATAGCGCACGCGCAGTGGAAAAAAACACATGAATTCTGATCTGAACGTTCACATTAAGGTCGCATGGCCACGAATATCCGATCTAGGACCACATATGAAAGTGACTTAGGTCGGACTTGAAAACATCAGATTTGCGTGTCCACACAGCTCTGAAAACATCAGATCCGAGTCACATTAGGGCAAATAATTGGATTTGTGCCACTTCAACACAAACACAGGGCAGACGTAACCACTGCATACAACATAATGTAGACTAGACTATTGTGTTCTTAAGAGTAATGTTACCAAATTCGCTGGCAATTGGCTTATCTAAGTATAAACTTATCACTATAAGTTATGATGAATCAATGGACGGGAGACGTGACTCGACTTCTTCTATACTACTTTATTCACCACAATGCGGCAGCAAGACTATTAGGGAAAAACAGCACCCTCCAATGTCCATTAATAAGAACACCCAACAGACGGCCAATACATCATAATTACCCTCTTCTTAATGAAGGACATAATCTCAACTAAACTAAGGATGGGGGTAGACTGCCCCAAGACCTTGAGTGGGTCAAGGATTATTTTGCCTTATGTTGGGACCCAACTCACTCGCTAAACTTTGTACAACCAAAATAAATGTCCTGCTTCCACCATAATATTTGTATTACAAGTTTAGTCTCTTTGGTGGCTTGCGAACCCGGAAAGGACATCTTCTTACAAGCTGTGCTGGTGAAGCTGGTGACTTAGCAGGTGGAGTTTCAGGGTGCTCGGAAGTAGTAACAGCAGACCTGCTGGCCATAGACTCCAGTTTATGTTGTTTACTTGCTTCTGACATTGGCTGTACACTGTCAGTGTCCATCAGTTGTGAGCTCTCACTGGACTGCGGTGGTTCTGAGTGCTTGGTGATCTCCGGGTGACAGGCCAACATCTGCTCTGTGTGACGTTTCCAGTGTTGCGAAAATCCAATCTCAACAGTGTAAGACATTGGACCAGCTTTGGATAACACACTCCCAGGCGTCCACTTTTTTTCCCCACACCGATAATCACAGACCAACACTGGATCAGTCTTAGATGAAGTTATTGAATCCATCAAACAAACCTCCGCCACTTAGAATGAGCATCCACTGCCACAAAGAACATGTATCCTTCAAAAGGCCCAGCGAAATCTACATGAATTCGCCGCCATGATGCTCCAGGCCATGGCCAAGGATGTAGTGGTGACAGGCTTGGAGACTTCTGATGATACTGGCATGATGCACAAGTTTTAGATTTTTCTTCAATCTGTGCATCAAGGCCCGGCCACCAAACATATCTCCCTGACCTGAGAGAGGATAGGGTCAGACTTCGTTTCTTTACAGATGTCCGAACTGCATATTGACAATGCTTCTAAATGATGAACCAGATATGCCTCCACTGACCCTACTTTCTCCTTGTGCTGTACTGGAAGTGGTAACCGGGACAATCCGTCAGCATTACCATGTTAAGCGGCCCTGCTGTACTGAATTGTGTAGTTATGGGCAGCAAGCAATAGAGCCCACCGCTGAAGTCTTGCTGTGGCCATGGATGGCGTGGCTTTGTTGGGGCTTAGGATGGTTGTAAGGGGGCGGTGATCTGTGAGCAATGTAAAATGCCGTCCATAGAGGTACCCATGAAACTTCCTGACACCAAAGATCATCTCCAGTGCTTCCCGCTCTACCCGAGCCTAATTTTGCTCAGCCTTACTTAATGTCCGGGAAGCAAAGGCTATGGGTTTCTCCAGACCATCCGGTAGTATATGTGAAATCACCGCCCCAACGCCATACGGTGAGGCATCACATGCTAACCTGATAGGAAGTTGTGGGTCATAATGAGTTAGTACACTTTTGCTTGCCAACTGGTTTTAGGCTTCTTGGAACGCCCTCTCACATTCTGCTGACCAAACCCACTTCACACATTTCTGCAACAGTGCATTCAGGGGATGTAGTATAGTGGCTAGGTTAGGGACAAATCTAGCATAATAAATATGCCCCCAAGTTTTTCATATGCTGGGCATCATCCATACCTGTGAGTAAAATGTCATCGAGAAAACAGTGAACATTGGGGAGCCCTTGCAGCACTTGTTCCATCACTCTTTGGAAGATGGAAGGTGAAGATGTAATTCCAAATGGTAGCCTGTTATAAGCAAACAGGCCCTTATGAGTGGTGATAGTGAGGTATTTGCGGGACTGCTCACTGACTGGCACCTGCAGATAGGCATGTGAAAGGTCCAGTTTGCTAAAACGCTGTCCCCCTGCAAGTGATGCAAACAAATCCTCTATGCGAGGCAAGGGGTAATACTCTGCACAGAGTCCAGGGTTTACTGTTACTTTAAAGACCCCACAAATTCTCACTCCACCGCTCTTCTTAATTACTGGTACAATAAGGGTCGCCCACTCACTGAACTGGACCGGTGAGATCACTCCTTGCTTTTGCAGGCGCTCGAGCTCAGCTTCCACTTTAGATCGGAGTATGTATGATACCACCCGAGCCTGAAGGAATTTTGGCTGCTGATCTGGTTTCAGAGTCAGTGCAGCTTCAAAGTCTGAGCTTTCCAAGGCCTTCTTTAAAGACATTAGAATGTCTTTTGAGGAGTGTATCCAGTGTCTCTACATCAGTTTGGTGTGCCCCTCTTACTGTTTTAATCTCAGCCCAATTAAGTCTTATTCTGCGTAGCCACTCACGGCCGAAAAGTGGAGGTCCATTACCCTTAACTACATAAAGATGGAATCGAACTCTCTGTTCAACTTCACTTTTACTTTAATGACACCCTCAAGTGCAATCATTTCACCAGTATAAGTCTTAAGGACCGTGCTGGTGTGGTGCAGATGTACATGAGCTAATTTGTCTCTGTACAGTTCCTCGGAGATAAGAGACACTGCTGCGCCTGTATCTAGTTCCATCTCAACTGGCAGTCCTTCCACCTCTGGCCTTATCCGAATTGCCGATGACCTAGGGCTAGAGTCATTAGCTGCATTCACCCCTACAGTGTCATTCTGGACAGTTGTAACTTGATGTAATGCCAATTCTGAATGCGTGTCTAAAGATGAATCCCTTTCACTTGCTGTTGTATTAGTTTCAACCTTGTGTATTTGCCCTTTCTTAGGTTTGTCTCAGATTTTTTGTGCTTATCTCTACTTTCTAGCTTTGCTGACCTTTTTCCTGTCTTTTTGCTTCTGCACATACGGGAAATGTGGCCTCTTTTTCCATTGACATGGCTATGTCCACCGCTTTTTTGTATGTGATTGTCGCCTCTGTCAATAACTTTCTCTGTATTGCTTCATTACTTAGACCACATACCAGTCTGTCGCATAGCGCATCCTGTAGGTAATCCCCAAATTCGCAGTGCTCAGCCAGCTTCTTCAGAACAGCGACATATTGCGTAATACTTTCCCCCTCTTGTTGGTTGCGTTTGTGGAAGCGGTAACGCTCTGCAATCACAATAGGTTTAGGGGAAAATGTGCCTGTAACACACCCACTATCTGAGCATATGTTTTCTCTCCCAGTTTCTCTGGAGCAACAAGGCTACGGAGTAAGCCGTACACCGTAACCCCCATGACACTCAAAAACACCGCCACTTGTTTTTCCGCAGTAATGTCATTCGCTTACAAAATGCTCAAACCTCTCAACGTAAGTAGACCACTGCTCTCTTGCTTTGTCGAATGCCTCAATCTGTCCGATGATATGTGCCATTGTAATCCGTTTCTTGACTTTTGCCTAATAGCCTGTACCAGCTGCGCCACTCTTCCAACGTCTGAGTTAGCCCGTTCAATACCAGCTCCGGCTACTCTTTTCCATGCATGTGGTTCCAACCGTACTCGTCGCTTTATTGTGTTCTTAGGGTAATGTTACCAAATTCGCTGGCAATTGGCTTATCTAAGTATAACTTATCACTATAAGTTATGATGAATCAATGGACGGGAGACGTGACTCGACTTCTTCTATACTGCTTTATTCACCACATTGCGGCAGCAAGACTATTAGGGAAAAACAGCACCCTCCAATGTCCATTAATAAGAACACCCAACAGACGGCCAATACATCAGATAGACAACCAATGACTGAAACAAAGGGCTATATATAGCTAGACACAGTAGGGAACTTGACTTACCTCTGAAAAAGGTAGCAGTCATGGTTGCTCAGAAAGCCTGAATGTTTTAAAGTGATTATTTTATAGTCAACATCATCAGTTGAAGCAGTCTCGATGCTCTGCACTCTGAAGACCTCAGCTGGGGAAATAAGCCGTTCAATTTCCTCAGAAGTGCACGTGAAGTTCTCCACATTAACCACAGAACAGGAGGTGATGTTGAACAGCGTGCCTTCATCTGCTGTGATAATATGTTCAATTTCAAGGCTTTCATGGATACTGGCACGTATGAACCTCCCAAAACGCACCTCCGTCTCGTTTTCTGCTGTATACTGGTTGCTTGTGCCAAAGTACACAGTGTAGCATGTTTTGCCGTGGTTAAGAAGTCGTAAGGCATCTGTTAGCAGAAAGTGAAGAGACTTGAAGGGAAATTCGTCGTTGTATGTTGTGGCGTTGCTGCCTTTAGTCTGAACCAGTCTGTTAAATGTCTTTCGGAATTGAAATCTAGAATTCCCATAAGCCTGCAGTGCAGCCAAGTGATGTTTTTGCCCTCCATAAATTTGCTTCTCACAAGTTCCAGTGTGATTCCTCCACATGTCTGCAAAATCCTTATTAGCCTTGAGCTCTTTCTGCAACAGGCCGCCTTGTGCTGTAACTTTCTGCATCATTTTGTCACGACACTCTGAGAAGGTGTCATCGACAGCATCAGGAGCCATGTCCAGCATTCTCTTCTCTGCAGTGACCTATGAAACAGACAGAAAGCTTAACAAAGAAGAAGAAAATACTGAAAAGATATAAACTGGAACTGCAGTACAGTTGTTACCAAGAATCTTTACTACAATAAAGGGATAAGAATAGCTGAAGCTTGCCTTACACTAATCTGATGAAACTTTTAAAGTCACAAAGGCTCAACAAACTTTTAAAAAGGCTCAAAGGCTCAACAAAGTCCAAAAAACAGGCAAAGGTCCAAAAACACAGATCAGTAAAGACAGGCAACAGTACAAAAGGGCTAAGGCAAAAGGCAAAAGGCAAAGTCAAATAACGAAACAAAGGTCAAAAACGTACCGCAAATAACACTCAGGAGAAACGCTCAGTATGTTCTGGAAGAAGCAATACCTCGCAAAGAGCTAAACTACAGCCCGGGCTTAAAAGCTACTCTAACTAAGTCATATGACTGAAAACACAGGTGCAAACATTTAGTATTCGGGTGAGTGCGACCTCTGATAGGAGCGTGTGATCTCTTCAGAGGTCATGTGATTCCCCACAGCATTGTGGGTAATGCAGTCCGTCGAGGTTTCTGAGTTGGAGGGAAGTTGCAGCGTCACGTGATCCTGCTGGGGGTTCTGGGAGCTGAAGTCCAAGCTCTCCAGTGACACGGGTTGATGTGTGACAGGTCTGTTTTCACCGTTGTGGTGTTTTTGTTTTCACTGCATCTTTCAGAAAGCATTCAGTTAGACTACATACAATTACATGCAATACAGTATATGAAAAAGGTTTCAAGTGTGGAGTGCAAGAACTTGGTAATAAGTCAGTGTGTTTTAAGAGTCATGTTAGCTGTGAGAGGCCTTACAATTAGGGTGTTTTGCACCACCTTCCCTGCTGAAAAAAAAATTCTATACTAATCTAAGATGATTTATGCTGGTCTGGTGTTCATGCTGGCATACCACGCTGGTGATCAGCTATGCTGGTCTGTGCAGTTTTTTCAAGATTGTCATGCTTAACAACACTCAAAGTAAAACCACTGAAGGGCAGAGTCACTCTTTTTTAAGTTTTAATTAATAATAGTTGCAATTAACAATTCTTGTAGTTGTGGTTGCCAAGCAACATAACAATCAAAGATAATTTAATAAAAAGCACAATAGCTACATTGTAAAAAGATATTTTCACTGTCAAAGTGCTGTGAAATGTAATGGTCAAAGCCCATGTTTGGGGAAAAAAGGTTAAATGCATGTAAATAAAGCATACATATACTTTTTTAACACTACTGTTTTTAATTTACAGAAATAGAATGTAAATTCACAAAAACAAATGATCACCTTTATAATGGTTTACTGTTATTATTATGGTTAAATATTGTAAGTCAGAATAAATAAAATAGATAGAATAAATAGTTGAACTAGTTGAACATTACAGAAAAAGGCAGTACTTCTAAGAAATTACATGATTGTAATTTTACATATTTTGTCTGGAATACCTGTCACCACGCATTTTATGTTTATTTTTTTACAGATTTATTCCATCAATGTTTTTATGCAACTTTTGGCATATCAAATTTAAAAAAGACTTGATGCAAATGACAAAGGAGAGGTGGATAAGTTTTTGCAGATTAAATGAAATGTGATAAATTATGCTTAAAACACAACTGCCAAATAAATTAGGTAAATGTGAACAGAATAAAGTCAAATGACTGATCAGGTGTTTTTATTTTTGCTTCACGGTAGGAATGAAATAACAAGAAAATAACAAGAGAAGGCAGCAAGTATCAGCTTTATTTTAGATTCTGAAAAATCTTAATCTGGTCTCAGATCTTTCTTAATCTCAATTTCTGGTCTCTGTCTTGTCCCTGTCTTGTCTCAGTCTCGACACGCCTCGTCTCTGTCTTTGACCCGATTTTTTGATTTTTGATTTTTGGACTCACTTCTAGTGGATTTGACTACAACACTAGGTGATATTGCTACCTACACTTGTCAAATCCTGACTTGGTAAAATATTTTAAACATTTCAATCAGTGATTCAAAGGCTGAACTGATAACACTGTCAAAGTTCTCCACCTCAACCACACCTCTCTTCAACAAACACTTCCTGGTGAAGAAATGAAAGTAAAATCTCAGTACTGCACAGTTACCGTTAGAGAGTGGAGTGAAATGGCGGAGGCTAGAGTATCTGTAGATCTGGATCAGTTTAACTGTCCTATCTGCCTGGATCTGCTGAAGGATCCGGTCTCTGTTAACTGTGGACACAGTTTCTGCATGACCTGCATCAAGACAAAGTGGAATCAGGATGATGAGAGAGGAGTCTACAGCTGTCCTTTGTGCAGACAAAGCTTCACCCCAAGGCCAGTTTTGGGCCGAAACACCATGTTGGCTGCAATGGTGGAGAAACTGAAGAAGGCGCATGTTGCTGAGGGAAGCCTCGCTGGACCTGGAGATGTGGAGTGGACTCCACAACGAGCTGAACCCAGGAAATAAACACAAAGTGATCGATGCTGCAGGAAAACTTACAGACAGGATCTGCCATGATCATAACAAACTCAAGGAGGTTTTTTGTTACAGAGAGCAGTGTTCTGTGTGCCATGAGTGTGCAATGTTTCATTGCCAGCACCATGAGACCAGCACAGTTAAAATCGAAAGATTACGAAGACAGGTAAGAGTCCTAACGCTACCATATATGATGTGTAAATGTACAAAGGAAAGCACCAATTTACTTTCACTTTCAAATGTCAGACAAAATTTTAACACATGAATGTCCTTTGTTGCCAGTGTCAATTTAATGAATCTACATTCCTAAAACATTTAATATTAATATGAAACCTCCATTGATTATGTTTATGTTAATGTATGTTACCTAGAAAAATGGAAAAAACATGCTTTATAAGCTATTATTGCTATACTTTTGTTAATACTTGATGACAGATTATATAAAAAGAAATGAACTAAATGCAGAAAAAATAATATGTCCAAATATTTCTGGCAAATGAACTTTCTCTGCGACAGCTTTTTAGGGAGCATAGAATTTCACATAGATACAACCAGATACGGCACTGCTTCTACGTGGCAGAATTAAAGTTTACTGTGACAGTTTACTTGAGTTCAAGTAGCAGGAGCGGATCAGGGGTGGGGCCACAGAGGCACAGACCCCCAGAAGAAATCTTGGCCCCTTAAGTGTCCCCCTCACTCGCCACATCCAAGCTTGTCATTGATTCATAAGCAAAATTGTGGCCTTTCAGTGAAATTTCATTGAAAATTTTGAGTGATGAATATGTCACTCACATGCGTCATGTAGATTGAAAAAGTTTCTGTAGTGCTACTGGACAATATTAACTTAGCTAAAGTTATTGGCACTCAGTGCCTTAAAGATACTGGTTAATGGAACCTAAACGGAACTGAAGTTTCTTGAGCAGCTGGTTTCATTTTCACACATATGATATCTTTCTTCAGTAGCTTTATTACAGTAAGTACATAAAGGTTACTAGTGTATGTGTACATTGTCATGGTTTGCAACCAAGACAATCAGCTGCCAATTTGTCTGAAACTGATGTAGACCACAGTGATTTCTGTAGGCTGTTGAAACTGCTATGAGAGCCATGTGATTATCTGCAAATAATAAACAGTTTAAAGTTGTCTCGAATGTTATGAATTGTACACACACTGACCTTTTGGCCTTGGTATAGTAAGCAATAGCATATTTTAAACAAACCATTTAAAATTTTTGGGGCAGTCGTGGGCTGGAGGTTAGGGAACCAGCCCTGTGACCGGAAGGTCGCTGGTTCGATCCCCTGAGCCAACAGTACATGACTGAAGTGCCCTGGAGCAAGGCACCTAACCCTCAGTTAGGGCTGCAGATACTGCAGATAGGGCTGCCCACCGCTCTGGGCAAGTGTACTCACTGCCCCCTAGTGTGTGTGCATTCACTAGTGTGTATGTGGTGTTTCACTACACAGATGGGTTAAACGCAGAGGTGAAAGTTCTCCATTGTGGGACCAATAAGGGTCTCTTAATCTTAAAAACCTGGAAATTGTATTTGACATGATTTGTATTGGCATAGATGTTGAACTCAATAAACTGGATCATTTCAATAGGGGTACCCAATCCTTATCGATTAGATCAACCACCCTGCATAGTTTAGCTCCATCCCTATCTAACCCCCCATGAAACAGTTAATTAAGGCCTTCAGAGGCACAGGAATATTAGAGGCACGTGTGTTGGATCTGAATTCTCCAGGGTGGTAGACCTCCATCACCAGGATTGGGCAACCCTGTTTTTCAGCAATTACTTGCTTCCTTGTGTTTCATTCTCAGAGTATGCTATAATGCTTAATCATCATTTAAAATCAGTAAATTTTTCTGTTGGGGACAAATCCTTTGAACACTGTACAAAGGGTTGGTTTCTGAACTTTTCCCATTTTTAACTGCTTATGAGTTTGCATGTCTGTATTTGGTAGTTGTAAAATGATTAGCCTCGTGATTAGATAATTTACCATGTCTGCTAGTGCACGTAAGAGACACTGAATAAAATAGGTGTATAATGTGAATAAACTATATAAATGTATTAAGAGATATTATGGGATGATTGTGGAACCCTTTGAATTTGAATGCAATCACTTAACTTTACCTGCAATTTGCTAAAATATTTCTATGTGTTATTCATAGTCAAAGCTTGGAACCATGCAGGCACAGCTTCACCAAAGAGCTCAAGAAATGGAGACTAGAAAGAATGACCTAAGGAAAGCAATACAGTCAATCAAGGTGAGCACACATAAAAGTTGAAAGGCACAATTCCGAAAATAATACAACACAGAACTTCAGAAATTGGTGTCATTTTCATTTTACCATATTACCATTTCTATAAAGCAGGGATGCTCAATCCTGGCCCTAAAGATCTACCATGATGGAAAGTTCTAACACATGTAGCCCTAATATTTGGGCCTTATCTGAACCATATGTTTTAGATTATGGTTTGGGCTAAACTCTGCAGGATGGTAGATCTCCAGGACCAGGATTGAATCCCCCTGGCTTAAAGTGTGTTTCATCAAAAAAATAAAAAATAAAATAATTTGCCCAATTTTTCACTCACCCCGAACATAGTCATTTCAAACACATAACTGATGTCAGATATTTACTTTTTTTTAGTTTTGCACTGGAGCTACAAGGAGAATGTAGCCGACCCAAACTTTTTGGATGATATCTATTTGGATGGATTTTATTGTTGTATTATTCTATATATGCTCCACTGCAAAACTAAATAAGAAAACCTTCAGACATCAAACATGTCAGGGGTAAGTGGAGAATTAAGTATATTTGATTTTTTTGCTGAAGCATTCCTTTAAGGTTAACATTTTGAGGTGTAAGGTAGAATCTATTGCTGCCATGCTATGCTGCTCTACACCATGTAATGACATTAATTTTAGATGTTTACATCAAATCTTTGTTTCTTAATAGTCTTCGGCAAAGACATTATTGGATCAAAGTGAGAAAACCTTTGCAAGGCTGATACGTTCTGCTGAAAGCAAACGCTCAGAGATTGCAGAAGTGATCAGAACTACGGAGAAAGCAGAAGTACGTCGGGCAGAAGAAATTCTGAAGCGTCTGGAGAAGGAGATGGCAAAACTAAAGAAGAGAGAGACTGAACTGCCTCAGCTTCCTCACTTAGAGGATGACTTTCTATTTCTTGAGGTAACACTGCTCACCCTGTAATTATGCTCGTTCATTTTGAATAGATTTTCTTTCAGTAATTCCATATGAACATATTCCTAACTGGGCTTTTTCCTTTATTATACAAATGTCACAGGCCTCCAAGCGCCTCCTTGACCTTTCAACATTAGAACCTATACCAGACATCAATACCAGTCTGTCCACATTCAGAGACATACAATACACTGTGTCTGACATTACAAAAAAAGTGGAAGCATTCTGCATGACAACATCAGGCAAAATATCCAGATCAGGTGAGTTTAGAACAGAAAATGTCCTTTACTGGGATTATTTTACTATTATTTATTATTCATTACTGCTCTTGTTGTCAAGTAAAACACTCTCATAGAGTGCCCTTTTATCTCTACATAGTGAAAACAGGTCCTGTTGTTCAGACTTCTTTTCCAATGATCAGAGAGGATTTTCTTCAATGTGAGTAACTTGATTTGACTTGCATGGTTTTAGAAATGATGCAAATTGCATAGTCATTGAACAGAGCATTTGTTTATCTTGGAGTTAGGATTGCTATGACTGTAGCCCACTTGCTCAAACTCAGCTTTTAAATGGCAAGAGGTTACAATGATAGCTCTCTTAATAAAACCAAAAGTTTTTTTTTTTTCCAGATCTTGTAATGCAATCTTTATCACTAAAGTACTTAAGTCTTAAGTAAGCCTTCGGCTTTGGCAGACTAGACTGGTCAGTGCTTGTGGGTCAGTGCTATTGAAAAATCAACAGACAGAAAATTAACAAAAGCAACAGCAGTTGCGAAGTTACTGTCATGTAGTATTTGAAAAAGCTT